GCCAAGCATTTTCTGATTGGCAGGCTTTCCGATCTTGTTTGAAATAGGCAAGGCTGGCTCCATATTTGGTGAGATTTGGTGGGAACTTTATTAGTGTTCAATGCTGCGGTATGTATTATCCGGAGGGCGGGCCATATAATTATTTTCATTCAAAAATTTAGTAGGTAGAAGAAACAAACCAACGAAAAGTGTACAGTACCGATACTATTTATAATACTGAGTGATCACTTTAAAAGTGATCACTTTTTGAGTCCGAGTACTCTACGTACAGTTTGATCACCCATTTTTTAATCTTCTGAATGATGATCAGAACACACCAAACAATTTCTTTGGTGTTGCCTCAGATTCCAACTGACTGAGCAATAGACCTTGAACCTTCTCGCCAAACGCCTTGGCATAGGCAGGTCGAATACAACAGTCTTTCATATACGCTTTGACATATGGCCATCGCGAAATATCCACACCTGGAAAGAATTGCAGCACATACAAGAGGTAGCTTGCAACAGCAACATCGGCCAAAGTAAACTGATCGCTAGCCAGAAATGGTTGCTTCTCAAGGATCTTGTCCAACTTATCAATATTTTTGTTTGGCTTCTTGAGGCCGGTGTCGTAAACTGAAAGAGCCAACCATGAGAAACAGTAGCACTTCCACAGCCTTGAAATAATTCATCATGATAGACCTACCTTTTCCGTCGGGAGTTTCCAAGAAACAGATTCCGTCCAACGAGGCATTCGCCCAAACAATATAACTTTGTATAGCAGCGGCCTCGGACGGAGAAAGCTTATCTTTTGTTTTGTCTAGAAAATATAACAGAATCGCTCCCGATTCGAACACAAGAACATCATTGTCATCCGTCAGGCATGGAATTTGGCCAAACGGATGTGGATTCTTGGACAAGTCCCCCATCTTGATATCTATTCCAACTTCCAAAGCTCCCCAGTTACAGAGGGGAGATCTTGTTCCAGGGTGTCCATAGAGGGTCAAAGCACTTGCAAATTGGAGGAAGACGGTTGCCAAAAGAAAGGAATTCATCTTGTATGTTTTGGTTTGGTTTTGTGATGACATAAAAAGACTGCGTACGATACTACAATGCGATACTGTAGTGACCAGCTGAAACGTACCGGTATATCGTCTGATATACGGTAACGTCTGTACGTCCCATCACCATATAAACATAGCTTATCGTGGATAGAAGCACAGGATATCG